AATATTTTAATATTACACAATGAGGTTTTTATACATTTTTGAGTACAACACTGAATTCTGTTGAACGAGTACACAGCTGGACGAGGGGCTAGCCGAGACTGATAAAATGTTTTGCAGCTGTGTCCAATAGTATCAGTATTGTTTACAACAATTTATAATGACCTTTTATTTCCAAATTCATGACATTTTAACAAACTTCGTTACTTCAAGGACGATAAGGAATTGATGTGTCTATGGATATGGATATTTAGAATTCTGAAAATGAAAGCGAGTCTGTATGGGGTATGATGTTTCTTTGATATTTAGGCTCTGGAAATTGAAGTGAGGTTAAATTGATAGGTTTAGATCAGATTATGTTTTATATTGGACCAACATGTGGTTCAGAAGTTCTTTAGTTAATTTCGTAGGGTGTGAAATAAACAGAAGTATATCTGACTTTTTATCTTCATAACTAAATTTACAAACAAAATTCTTCATATCACTTTAAACATATTTGAGAAGAACGTTTTCTTTATTTTAATGGCACCATAATAGATATATTTCGGAGTTGGCAAAGACTGTTTGTAAGCAACATACACTAACCGCATTTCTGTGATTTAATTATTTAAAGACAGACCGCTTTAAAGATACGTTTCATTATTATCATAAAAATACAATAAAATAATCTTTAAACGGTGGAGAAATATTTTTCTTAAACAAAAATACTTCCAAATAAGTGGTCTCATTGAGCTTAAATACGCGCCGAAGCAACACATCACTTTCAGTCGAGGTCATGTGAGTATAATAAGTCACTCTACTCTGATAAGATAAGGATAACAATTATGTTAGATGCCGGATGAACAAGAACAAAAGTAAACAAGACCGAATTGTAAAGCACTTACAGTAAAAGGAACAACAGAAAGTTTTATCATATGTTTGGCACATCAACCCACAATTATCAAAATCAGTAGAGATATGGTTTTAACATTTTTTACTACTACTATATACATAAGACAAGAAGGCCAAACATTACCCTTATATCGCCCTTATATCGCTTACTTGTCTGTAAAGGCTCGTAATGAAGTAAAAATTTATCAATAAATGAAAAACAGGTATTCGGTCTAAAGATATCTCATCTTATACCAAAGTTCAAATCAGCATCTGAAAAAATGCAAATGTAAAAAAGTCAATGACTGCTTTGGACAATCAGTTATTGCAATGAAAATCACTGGTTGGAAAACAATGGTTCCTATTGAAATCACTAGTTGCTATTGTAGTCACTCGTTACTATGAAAAGTCAATGGTTGCTATGGATGCCACTAAATGTATAAAAAAATCAATGGTTGAAATAGAAATCATTGGTTGCTATGAAAAGTCAACAATTACCATGGGAATCATTGGTTGCTAAGGAAAGTCAATTGTCTAAATTATCAAAGAATACAAGCATTTCATAGCAGAGTCTGTTATATCACTGTCTAGGTAAATTTGATAATATTATCCAATATTTAATGCACCATTTAGATTCATAAACCATTGTAGGAAATTTTCCTGTATCACCAAGTACAGGATGCATGTCTTCTTCATTAAGTTTTTTCCAGTTTCATTATTGTTTTTCTAAAATAAAATGTACTTCTCAAAAGCAGCAGTCTGCACTACGCGTAACAGATCATTCACTTGATAGGTTTCAAATCATCTTCAAGTCGATCTAGTCGTTCATTTGCTAACTTTAGTTCGTCCCCAGCCATTTCATCACACATCGTATTTATATTCTTCTTTGTTGTAACATATGCGTTGTGCGCTGAGAAAAACATGCCAAGAATTGGCATTTGAAATCTCGTTAGATGAAGTATGTCAAAATGAGGCGGCTTAAAGTTAAACTTCTTTTTGTAGGATTTTAGTCTCCCTTTCAGACTCATGCTCGAAGTTTTCAATTCATTTGCCGTTTTATCAAGCGAATTGTCATCAATGCAAAACCTTTGCTGGCAAATAGTACGAATATTAGATAATGACTTATGGCACAGTCTTTCTGTAAGCGCTTGTGTTGGCACAAATCCAGTCAAAACAGAAAGTGCTGTTTGGAATCCAAAACCATTTTTGTTCTTTTGTTGATTTTTGTGTACTTCTTTCTGAACATTTTGTTGTAGAATTGACCTAATGGCTTTTCCTTTGATGCTGAGCATATCTTTTAATTTCTTATCTAAATCAGTAAAGTCGTACTTATTTCTTTCTGGAGAGCTTACCAGGTAAATACCTGTAACTGAAGCTGGTAGTCCTCCTTCATGAATTGTATTTGATAAGTTACTTTTAATTTTGTCTAGACATGCCGTTTCAAAAAACGTGTCTGGATGATCTCGTTTAGCGTTCATTAGGTCAATGTCAATTTTTGTTCGAACAAAGATGATATTTTTACGTATCGCACGTAATTCCTTTCCAAGCCATATATCATTTTCAAGAAATCTTCCAGCAGAAACGATCAATACTACGTCAAATCTTGCGAAATTCATGTCTTCCAAATATGCGTCTTTTCTAAATTTTTCTGTACCAAGGCCAGGTAGATCCCATATAGCTACATTTGCGTTTTCAGGATATGTATATTTACAGCCTTCTTTTGTTGTCTCAACAACGTCAACAGCGGCGGCACCTTCATCCGTAGGCTTCAACTTTCTTAGAGCATTGATGAGACTGGATTTTCCAACACCAGAATTACCTGACACAGCAATATTTAATTCAAGTTGTGCCCACTTGTCAAACGAATCTTTGATGTACTTATTGAGGCCATGTAGCACGCCTAAAGTTACAATCTCTTCTTTCAGCAGCTCGTCATCAACAAATGATCGAAATTTCTGTTGAAAAGTAAAGTAAATTGATTTAAATTTATTTAACGATTAAGAAAAATAAAGTTTGTAAGCTTATTTAATGTGACTGCTTCCTTTTTTATTTAATCAGGTATAATACGATATAGATCTTGGATTGCTTCCACATTTAGGACAATAACTGTATATAATTTAGATAGTGTTTCATTTGCTGAAAACAATGTTATCTCTATGATTTTACAAGTTTTAAATATAATAATATTACGGTGTTAGTAGTTCGTACCATAGTCGTAAAATAAATTAATGAATATTTTCAATTACTTACGTCAAATTCAAGATCTTCAATCGAGCTGTTAGATTCGCCTCGACATGCACTCTGACCACTTTCCAAAGCACCACCTTTTTCATCTTTACATATTTCAGTTTCTTCGGAAATGTAGTCGCTGTAAATTCAAAAATTGAATAAAATATAAAATTAATTATAAATATCTTTACTCTGCAATATGCTATTTATTATAAATATTGCTACCGACCTTGACAATGACATTTTAAAAACTGGAAACACCTTAGACTTATGTTTATTTATCTTATTCTAAAAATATCGTTCAGAATGTATCAGTTACACTCAATTTTGGAAAAAGTGGAGTAGTCTCTTTACAGTTTAGGCAGTTTTTATAGTGCATCATACATATTTTTCATTATGATTTATCAATTATCCGTCAATGACCATTTTAACATCCAATCTTATGAAATATGTTGCACATTCGATTCAACTTGAATGAAAAACCGAAATGACCATAGTGTCGCCTAAGTTTTCAATGTATAATTGTAATATCATTATTTTTTAGTTTTATTTTGCAATTGAATAATATGTGTCACATTCTACAGTGTACCTGGTATCCAAATATTCAAACAACATGAATATTTAAAGTTATATCGTATTTTCTTCAACGAATCAATGAAAGGACGGACAACACTGAACTTTAATTTGCCAAGCACAATGTCAAAATATCGTATTACCCATGACATGTGTAAATAAAACATCATTTTCCTCTTTTATTTCTAAAAACATGTAAAAGTGAGTCTAAAGACTGTTCGCGCATATAGTGAAATTGACGAAAACCTTAAACTTGTACAAATATTAATTGACACACTGTGTTTGAATCATATCTTAAATAGATAATTCAGTATTTCCGGATTAAAAACCATTTTGTTGTCAAATTTTTTATGTTGATTTCAGCTTTCAAAGCTTGAAAATAAGATTAATAGCCATTAATATAATATAACCTAATAAACATAGAAAAATTTCAGCCGGGACTCGTACCACGGGTCTCTGGATTGCCAGTCTAGTATACTAACCACTACATTACAGCGGCCGTTGCGTTTACTTTTACCGCATTTGGCTGACTCAGTCGATTCTTGCTATTTTTCTATGTATAATTTCCCGCTCATGACTTTCTTTCTTTCAAAAAGCATTGTTTGTACAAAGACATGTTTGTATGTTTCTAAATACATGTTGTCTGATTATATTTTAAAAATCTTATATGTTGCTGTAATTTCGATATTTGTATTTTGATATAAAAATGTGGTACTAGTAACTCATCATCAAGAGATATTTTTTAATAAGATTTTACCACAATTTATTTAAAGACTTTACATCTCCATTTAGCAAAGCTATATATTGTTGACTTTTTAATTTTCCTTTTGGGTGTATAAAAATATTTATATCTAAGTAATTTTGACAGTTTTCTCTAAATTGTATTTAAAAACAGTACATTGCTTATAGTCTTAAAAAATTCAAAATTGATTTTTTCCATATATCATAAAATATTCTTCAACCCTGACTTTTATGTACAGGGATTTAATAAAATGTTGTGCTTGTGTTCAAATACTTCTTCTCTATTGTTCCTGATCTTCTCTCTCCATAAAAAACGGATGAACTTAATTACTTGTTGAATGTCTACAAATGTTCCTCTTATATTTATCTTTCAATTTTTTAATACTGTAGATATCACCGTCATTATCATATAAATCAATAATAGATTTTTTATTATGATGTTTCCAATTGTTAAAATGTAAATTTGTGTTATGAACCAAAATGGTGAATAAAATATATCTTCCATACTTTCAATGTTCACTTTTTTGCAAAAGTTAGCCAATATTTTCAACAATTGTTTGCGGAAATTATTTGAAAGTTAATCTAATGAATTCTCAGTTCCATGGAAAAAACAGTTGTGTGTCATCTGCATCTAAAATTGGATCTCCTTGTACAAACCCACTTTACTTAAAAGAAATCTAATAATTGGAAATTTTGTATAAAACAGGTTTCCTATCCATTTTGGAAAATAAATATCCATTAATTGAAAGACGATCCAATATTGAAAAAATCTAAAGTTTCCCGGGTCAATTTTCAAGAAACTGTATCAAACGCTTCCTGAAAATCTATAGATAGCACAAAACTCGTATATCATTTTGTTTGGTTTCAAAAAGAATATCATATATCAATCTTACACCTTCTCGAGATAAACCTTTTAGATCTTGGCAAATAATATTGTTTCGAAACCCTTTCAGTCTATTTGCTATAGCAGCAGAAGCTATTTTGGCATCGTCTCTACGCCTCTCTATAAGGATCACTTCTTCGTCGGATGTCTGTCTTTCTGGCTGTCTGTCCACCTGTCCGTCCGTCATAAAACTAATCCGGACTACTGGTTCCATTTCATCCAAACTTTACAGGAGTAATCAGTACTAAGTCTCATTGTGCATATCATCAGCATTTTCCGTTTTGTTTGTCAGAGTTTTGGCCCTTGAAAAAATTCATTTTTAAAGTTTGTGCGGACAACTCCTCTTATACCAATGATGATAGTTTACAGAATTTATCTGTAGCTCAAATCCTTGCGCATATTTTACAGGTTTTCGGGTTGAATGATTTTTGGCCGAGTTATGGCCATTGAATAAACAAGAAGGCCAAGATGGCCCTAGATCGCTCACCTGACCCATCGAACTCATCCAAACAATTACCTAGACAAGCATTCTGACCAAGTTTCATGACAGGTGAGTCAAAAATGTGACCACTAGAGTGTTAACAAGGATTACCCATATTTGAGTAGTGTAACCTAGTTTTTTACCCCAGGTGACCAATATTCGAACTTGATCTAGAAATTCTCAAAACAAACTTTCAGACCAATTTCCAGGATATTTAGATCATAACAGTAGCCACTAAAGTGTTAACAAGATTTTTCTATTTTTAGCTCCTGTGACCTTGTTTTTCATCCGAGATGACCCATATTTAAACTCGTCCGAGCATTTACCTAGGCAAGCATCCTGTCAAAGTTTGATGATAAATGAGTCAAAAATGTGACCGCTAGAGTGTTAACAAGGTTTTTTTTCTCTATTGTTAGCTCCTGTGACCTAGCTTTTCACCTGAGATGACCCATGTTCGAACTCATCCGAGCTATTACCTAGGTAAGCATCCTGACAAAGTTTGATGATGATTCAATGTGACACAAATGTGACCGCTAGAGTATTAACGAACAAGTGTGGACGGACAACGGCGACAGACGACGGACTTTCAACGATCCTAAAAGCTCACCCTGAGCTAGCTCAGGTGAGCTAAAAAGATGTTTTTTTGTGTGTTGCCAGTTACACAAAAGCTGCTTGTCCGGACTACTTCTCGTAAGTTAAGTAAACTTGACATGAATTATCAGTACCAAATTTCGTTTTGCATACCATTGGTTTTTCATGGTTCAATAATTTTTGTCGGAGTTATGACCCCTTTAGTCATTTTTAAATTTCGTTCGGACTTCTCCTCTTATACCACTTATGCAATTTCAATTAAACTTTTTCAGGATTTATTAAGGAAATAGATATTAGTTCATTTATTGCTGTAGAATAACGCACGGTTTGAGTTCAAATGGAAGGAATATATTCACGAAAGCCGATAGGCCTGAGAGTGATAAATTTTCAAGCATTTGAAAGAAATACCGTGCATGATTATGCTATAATGCACGCAAAATTAATATCTATTTCCATTCTTAGACGTCAAGAAAAATATAATTGGACTTAATGTTTGGTGGTTAAATTTGTTTTCGCCCAAGAGTTTCCAATAGAAACTTTCTTCAAAGGCTGTTCAAGTTGAAAAGAACTGTCGTTTAGTCTACCGTTTGCAAAAACATTTTGAGAATATCTAATTTTGAAAACGTTGATAAATGTGTTTGTATTTATCTAATTTTATACCTTTTATTATTTTTTTCAAGCGAAATCAAGAATTTTTACAGTGAAATAAATGTGAATTTAAACTGGTGTTCGACACTGAAAAAGTGTTCTTGTTTTGACGTTTTTTTGCACGCGATGTTTGGCGCTACATAGTGACGTCACGTGAACAACACTTAAAACGTCTGTACAGCCTTAAAAGTGAAAAAAGATATTGGTGTTCGGATTTAATTTCTTAGTTAAACTTTTTTCTTTCATTCTAGATAGATTTCAGAACAAAATTCAGCTGAAAATTTTTGGTGTTTTTTTTTTCTTCAGATTTTTCAAACAAAATGGCGCCGTCAATGTGCCGGTTCGCAAATACAGCGGGAGGAAGTAAGTATGTGAGTGCATTGTTGTAAAATATACCATGCTTCCGGCCTTCTTTGTTTATATCAGAGAAATTTCCGATAGTGTTACAATGATAGGTCAAACACTTGTGCATATTACACAGGTTTTCCGCTTGAATGAATTTTGGCTGAGTTATGGCCTTTGAATAAAAAGGGTGTGATCAAAATTGTCCGGACTACTCCTTTTATACCAAAAATGCAATTTCAATGAACAGGATTGATTGGTAGGTCAAGTACTTGTGCATAAAAACAAGGTTTTCACTTGAACGACGTTTAGCTGAGTTATTGCCATTGAATAAAAAAAGATGTTAAAAAGAAGTTTAACGGATGTTTCTGCGGATGTCTCTAAATTCAATATTTCACCATTTTCGTGTTTAAATGTTGAATTCTGCTTAAGCCGGTGCTAGGGGGTGTGGACGGTAACTTGCACTTTCCATTACCGTCCATGAACAGGCTCAATCAAACCGAGCCTGCAATATTTTCAATTTTGTCGTGTTTGGCTTTCTTTAGGGATTCTGTATTTCTCTATTTTTTTGCCTGGACTACTTCTCAGAACCTACTGGTGCAATTTCATCAACGATGATCGATACCATTGTTAGTTGTGCATCTCATCAACAGTTGTGAGTTCATTGATTTATGTCAGTGCTTTTTCTCCTTAATGATTATTATTTTAAAATGTGTCCGGACTACTGCTGTTATACCACTAATGCTATTTCAATTAAAATTTACAGGATTGATAGGTGGGTATATTACACAGGTTTTAAGTTTGAATGATTTTTGACCAAGTTATCATAAGGCTATCATGAGGCGACACAATTGGCTCTAGTTCTTCATAAAGAATCATTCTACTTTTATTCGGATTAGATAGACACGTTTAAACACCTTCTTTCTGTGTGACAGTTGAACTGTCTTTAAAGAAGCCAAAATTAAGAGCTTTTTAAAAGAAAAACAGAGAGATCATTCCAGACAAATTAAAAAAATTCAACAGTATAACCATCTTAACTAGGACATTTACCATTTTTATGTTGTTTAAAACAATATTTAGCTCATCAATAGTCAGTCCACTCTCTAACTTTGGAGAATCCGGTGCATTTCATTTATTGTCATTTTTCTCTATACTGTTTATTACAGGAGTTTCATCTACATCTTAATTATCTGTTCATAATTTCTCGAAAAAATCCATTTGGAAATTGAGTATATTTTTCATATTTCAAATTTCTTCATTGCTTTAAATAACCAATTTTGTTATTTATTTATTTGTATAATATCAGTTTTCAAAATTTGAAAAATATCTACTAGGTTATTCTCCTTAATTTTCGTGTTGACATTTCCATCCTAACATCACTCCTTCTAACTTTGATTTCTGAAACATTTCGACAATAGATTTTCGGATATTGTTTGTTTTTCTAATGTTTGAATATTTTTTCGTAACCCTTTTTTAGTTTTTCTAATTTTTTTTTCTTTCTGCTCTTTATCTTATTGTTTTACCTCTAAGAACAACCAAATACTTTTCAACAAAAGTTGGGGTTAACATCTAAATCTGGATCTGCATAATAACCTTCAGTGCTATTTTCTGTTTCATGTAAATAAAAAAATGTAGTGTATTTTTAACTAGATTAACATTAGATTAATTTGTGTTCGGTCATAAGAGAGCAATAAATTTCCAAAAACCTTTTCCCCTTTCATTTTCAAATATTTAATTGTTAATAAAACACCTGTGTTTATTTTACAATGAATAACATATTTCATTATATCCTAATTCACAAGAAAAATCTAACAATGTTTGCTTTCTTGTCGGATATTTGTTTCCAAATATAATTCATTTTCTGCAATTAATATATTTAGCCGTTTTTGAGTATTTCCAAGCCCTTTGCAATTTTGAGAGTATATGGTTAACTCATCAACTATAAGGTAAAAGAAAGACACAATTGTCCTTTAAACAACCTAAAAAATAATTGTACGACCGTTGAATATACTATTTTTATTTCTTATTAGATTACTGAGATTACGGAGAAAATCGTTTTAAGTTTCATATTATGAAAATCTTTGTTCAAACTTACAAACGTTTAAACAAACAAACAAACAAGACTACAAAATTACTTGTTTGTTATATAACTGTTGTGTATACAAAGAAACACATATATTCGTTTTAACAATCTACTGAGTGCATTCAGTCTAATGTGTATGTGCGTTTTTAAAACATATTTTCATTGCACAAAAATGTTCCTTATATTGGCATGGATGTGCTCAATTCCGTTGAATATTATCTGCCTAAGATGATATTAGTTAAGTAGAATTATGACCACTATTTACAAAGCAAACATTGCTCTTGTAAACTTTGTGTTCGAGCAGATTGCACACTTTTGTACGAGCGATGAATTCATACTTCCTATAGGACAGAACATTTGCCATATTATGGTACAACTCTTGTTGCAAATGAAACGCTTTTAAGAAGTTAATTGTTTTTGACGATTCATAATGTGTCAATCATTCATAGTATTCCAACGAACTAAGTCCAAGTGACATGCCAGGAAATATCAGAAGTTAAGAGGTCTCTTGAATTTCTCTTTTAATATCACTCAAATATACATTACTATTCATCGTTGTTTTATGTTAGTGCTATAAAGTTTACACATGTGATTCATTATATGTGAACACTATAACGGTATGAAAATAATTTGGGTTAATCATTATTCAAGTCGTATTTGTACTAATTACATGAATATATAAGGAGGACATGGATGGTTGTAAAAGAAAACTAATGTTTTTGTGTGTTTACTTGTTCGGAAACCATACTTGTTTGTGAATAAATAGGAGAAAAAATATCCATAAAAAAAGAATGTTCATTTATAATGTGCCATTATTGCCTAACATCTGTGATTCTTAATGGAATATAAATGTGACTTTATTGTCCCTTTTTTTATACATTGTAAATAAATTAATTTTGAAAATGCATGCATACACAAACAATTTGCAAACATGCAATGCCATTGTAAATTATACCAACAAAACACGAAATAGGTAAACGTAAATATTATGCATACATTTTTAACTAAAGACCTTTTACAGATTAAGTGTGTTATAATGTTCTTCAAACAAAGTGACATACCTTGATATTTGGCTACAATCTTTTATTGCTACGTAAATTGATTCTCTTTGTGACTGCTCATCGGTAAGTACGGAAGGCTCTGATATGACAGATTTTCTATTTGATGAATTGTCTGAATCCAGCACTCTTGAACATCAAAAATAAAAAAACAATTAGATGACGCATAAAAATATTTAACAATAATACTCTTAAGTAAACTTGCACAACAAAGGAAATTAAATAATTTCCTAGAACTCGGTATTTTCTATGCAATTCGATTTTTTCACCTTGTTATATGAGTATTTATCAAAGCATTACATTTCGCCAAAGCTTGTCTGCCAATAAAAAAAGCTTGTCTGCTTTTTTTCAAAATATTTACCATGCAGTGCTGTATCTCAACTGTGTGTATTAATTTTATAACTTAAATAAACCGATTTAATGGCCCGGGCTATTTTCATAATGCGCATGCGTGCTCATTATTTTGTTATGCTTCTCGTGTAAGTAAACATTAAACAAGTGCTTCAAGTACATGTTTTATGGCCATGATGACGGCAAAGATGTTTTGATTATAACTTTAGGATTTTAACGTTCTAATATGGAGGAATGGGAGAGAATTTGACCAGAAGGGATAAAAAAAACACATCACCTTTCAGCTTTTAATATACAATAAATCCGCAGAAATATGTTTAAATCTAGTTGATGTTCCTATATCGATTTTATTGAACAGTTGTTTATTTTGCGTATTTTTTCCATGGCGATATAGCAATTTTATAACTGCTGCACAAGTACATATATGTATGTACATTTGAGGTTGCGACACATTTTTTGTTTTTATCATAAAACAGCATGCCTCCATATTCTTGCTTATTTTCATGAAAATTTTGAAAATTCATTAAAAGTAAAAAATCCACCTTCATTACCAAAAAAAGGGGGTATAAATATTCAAATTATCCCCTACTGCGTTAGTAACGCAGAATAGTTATGGTGATTTTAATGCAACTTCAGTCATAAATCCCACACAAAATGTGAATCATTAATTGAACCTTGAATCTCTTCTACTTTTCTCAAACTCTTAAATCAATAATTATCAAATTTGATTTTCTTGAAATATTTTGGCTCATCTTGAGGCAGGTAGCTTTAACTTTATTAAATTTTCTCCATAAAGTATATAGTAATTTTCTGGCAAACACATCATAATTTTATGATAACACTTCTGGCAATAAAGGGGTCAAATGTTATGTGCTACGTAAATGTTATGTGTCGTAATGTGGCAGAGATTTAAGTTGTCATTTTTGAATTACAAGGGAGTTAGCACTACAATTTTAATTTCAATGAAAAATTGTTTTATTAAGGTAACTTATTTAAACTATGATATGGTATGAATATGGTAGAATGTCAGTTTCAATGTAGTTTTTTTACAACGCGTTAATATCTGCCTATAGCGATACACTGAAGTGTATACAGTTATATTTAGAACTGTTGCTGTGCGTATAAAATTTATATAAAAGCTAGAAAATATGTTATGATCATGAGATATTTTATATAAGTTAGGGAAATCACACTTATATGTGTAGCGTTTATTTTTTTGTTCAGTAGAGAAATTGTTTTTGTTGATTTGTTGAGTTGGTTGAATTTAATTGTGGTGATCTTAATTGATCAGGGTTAAGTGGTTGTAATTAGTTGTTTTGGTTGTTGAGTTATATCTGTTTGGTCAGAAAAAAATGGTTGATATTGGTTGAATGTTTGGATTTTGTCGTGTCAAGATTATATTAATTGATGATTTGTTTTTAATGATATCTGTAAATATTTGGTGCTTTAGTTTGTTTTTTTCTGATGCTGATTAGATTTTATGAAGTTTATATTTTTAGTTGAATGTTCATGGTTTATCTTAGACTTGTGAAAATATTTATTTATGTGTTCTTCATTTTGTGGTGATTTTATTGTTTTGTTTGATTATATAAGGTGTTTAGAGATTGAGCTCGCCAGGTGTCTACTGTTGTTTCGTATTAAAGGCGTATATGTAAAAAGATATTTCGTATAAGTGGCTGATAAATGATGGGTGTTTGTTTTGGGTGTAAATAATGATCAGAGTTCTTTGTTTTGGGTGTAAAGATAATCAAAGTTTGTTGTTTAAATGTATATACAAGTATGGATTGGAGATAGAAAAAGATAAAAATACCTTAAAAAATAGTGTTTACTAAACAATTACATACTATTTTTTTCCAAATGAGAATATTTTAAGTTTAAGTCAGGCGGTGCTGCCCAGCCTCCATATCTCGGAAATTGGTTCTTGTTTTAATTACTTAATCTTTCCTTAGATTAAATAACATCAAGGCAGTCATTCTCCTGACAGAAAAAAATCTGACATATGTTTGCGGTTCGGATCGGAATATCCGTTCCACGGCAAGGGATTCAGTATTCAATTTTGCCGAAATATTAACATAAAGTGCTGTAACTCAACTGTATATATTAAATTTATACGTTAAATGAGCCGATTTTTTGGACTCCGTCTATTTACATAATGCACTCGATTTGAATGGACGGGGCTAACTGTAAGTCGGTTTTAGGTTGTTTACAGAGTTCTTTTTCAAAAATGAATTTCTTAAAAATCTGTATTTAACCTATAACTTATACTTAAAGCACGATTGAATAAATGCAATTAATGTATTATCAGTTAGGGTCTGAACATTGGCTTCATTTTGCTTGGCTGAACAATAGCATGTGGAATTATTGACAATGAAAGTTTAAACCCTTAACATTAATTCTCCGTTTTCTTTATCCACTGAACATGCAATGGCAATGCAATGTTTAAAGGTCCTAAAGCATGTTACAACTATAAGCAAATCATTGTTTATAATTGTTTTTTAATAAAAAATATACAACTTGCCTTATGCAATCCCAAACTTTATGAAAACAAGTAAAGATAAAAGAATATTTAGATTATTTATGGAGCACCCATTTAAATAATAAAACAGTGTGGATTTCTTAAAGTACTCTTCATTTATAATATATTTCATTAACGTCTATATTATGCAGTAAACTGGATTTTTTTACTATTGTCTCATTTTTATATATTTTTTCGAAATGTTGTGAAGGTATTTGAATAACTTGCTTTGCACGTTTTATTTGGGTCTAAAGGCTGTCTTGGCCAGCATTTTCCCACTTATATATTTTTTTGTCTGTCTTGCGATACTTATGTTACAACAACAAAAACAAAATCATTTGCAAATGTGTTTTTGTCCCGGCACAACTGTTCGACAAAGCTATCATGCCAAAATGTAAAAAAATATTTGATACACTATACAGATTATATTGTTGGCGTCCGCGCCGAAGCGCGGCGCCCCTTTATGGAACGAAATCAGATTTTGTGAAAGGGCGACAGCAACTTCTCGAGCCTTTTAGTCGGTCATAATAAAAGCCGATCATTCCGATCGTTATGAGGGAAATGTCGCGATATGTACAATGAACAGCGAACTGGAGGATTTCGCAATGCAAACATTTTCAAATGCAATAACCTTTTCCGTCTCTTCGTTTTTTATTCATCATTTTGTAGTACACAGTGGGTTAACATGGTATGTTAAAATAGAATGATGAGTTGATGACCTAAATATTCCGAAAATCTATTTATAGAGGGATGTACTCCTATCGGTAATTCCGGTCTCTCCCGGTCTATTTTGACCGGGATACTAGTGACCACACGTTTATTAGATGTTTGATATCGTTACAGAACAGAACAAATATTTTACAGATAAATAAGCTTTTTTCCAAAATGAACGTTTGTCACTTAGGTTGGTTACAATAATTTATAAACATAGATCAACTCTCAAATTTATTGATTATTATTATACATAAACATACAATTCGAAACAAAAAAACCAACAACAACACCAAAAGCATGTTTCATTTTATCTATATGAGATAAAAAACAATAAATATGTACAATAATTGTGAAAAAAAGGTACATTTTTATGGTTTTTAATTAAACACTATCAACTTTGAAACATTTTATTTAATTTGTTATTTGTGTTTAGTAAAGATGCCGAGGAAGTATTCAAAGTTACAAACTGGATTTTATTAATTATTTAATTGATTGATAATTTAAAAAATGATAAAGAAAAATACAAATGTACATGTACATGGTTTAAGAATAAACAATATTATATATTGAAAGATTAACCATAATTTACTGACTTTTTCCAGTTAAGTTTTGACTTATACTCGTCGGTCAATATGAAAATTGAATTCTTAAAATTTATTTTACAATTTTAATAAAAAAGAGTAGTAAACGTAAAAAACTCAGTATTAAAATAGCACATAAAAACACAAAAAAGAGAGGAAAACAATATTCATAAAATCTGTATTTTTATTATTAAAATAGGAATGTAAGACAAAACCCCACCAGTTAAAACCCCACCACTCAAAATTTTATAGAGTGGACAAAACCCCACCACTAAATTTTATAGAGTGGACAAGACCCCACCACTTAATCTTACAGAGTGGACAAAACCCCACCACTTCAGTTTTATAGAGTGAACAGATACCTTAAGAAGGGGTCTTCGCTAATAGCGATTACATAATAAGGGACAATTTCACAAGTGTGGTGTTGATCATGCGTTACACATATGGATTATAAATGATTGTATACATGTATATCCGTTGCTATTAATAATCACGATCATAAAGAAATAACAAGTAATATTCTAATATCTAGCATGCCAATCAAAGTTCATAATGAACAATGTCTTCCGTCCGTTTATTCTGGTATAAACCAATTAACCATTGAAAAGTTTATAAGAATATCTTGACATCATATGTCTACTAGTTCGTCTTCACTTTCTGCATTTCTTGCTTGGACGCCCTTTGATGCTTTGCATCAATGCTTTTCTTGTATAAGGTTTGGTTTAAGTATGCTAATAATCATACCATTTCACTGTTTACAACGAGTCAGCGATACACTGAAGTGTATCAGATTTCAATGTACAGTTTTATTTATAAACCTGTTGCTGGGAGTATAAAATATATCTACATGTAAAGGTCAAATCGTTTAAGCTAGCAAATATGCGAGGTTTAGAGAGATTTTACATGAGTTTAGGAGAGACACGCTGATAGTGTGTAGCGTTTATTTTTTTGTTGAGAAGAGAATTTGTTGTTTTGTTGGTTTGTTGAAGTTGGTTGAATATAATTGTGGTGATCTTAATTGATCAGGGTTTATTGATTGTAATTAGTTGTTTTGGTTGTTGAGTTATATCTGTTTGTGAAGATATAATTGGTTGATATTGGTTGAATGTTTGTCTGGTCAAGATTATATTTATTTATGCTTTGTTTTGAGGATATATGTAAATATTGGGTGCTTTAGTTTGATTTTCTGATGCTGATTTGATAGTGTGAAGTTAATATTGTTGGATGAATGTTTGTGGTTTATACTGTATCTTAGAGTTGTAAAAATAATCATTTCTGTGTTCTTCATTTTGTGGTGATTTTATTGTTTTGTTTGAATGTTGAATTCTGCTTAAGCCGGTGCTAGGGGGCGTGGACGGTAACTTGCACTTTCCAGTACCGTCCATGAACAGGCTCAATCAAACCGAGCCTGCAACATTTTCAATTTTGCCGTGTTGGGCTTTCTTTAGGGATTCTATATTTATCTATTTTGAGAACATTAAAGTAGGACTATTTTGAAAATGGTTATGATAAATGGGTCGCCCGACACCGACAGTGGATCGAGAAACACGGAGAATACTTTGAAAAACATTTTTTTAAATCTTGTAACGTCATGACGTTTATGACGGCGTGCGCCGGGTATGTATAGGAAGCATTCTTTAAATTTTAATAACTTGGTCAGTTTTGGAGGAATTTTGATTTTATTTCGCATAGACACACATAAAAGGTGTATTGACTTTTCCCTGGCTTGACGACTCTATTGTTTTATAATTGATTGAGTAACAGACTTTGTCTACGATATTTTGGGACAACCCTCGTATATATTGATTTGAGATAGAAACAGATAAAAATACCTAAAAAAAGTGTTAACTAAACAATTACATGCTAGTTTTCCAACTGAGAATATTTCACTTTCATGTCAGGCGGTGCTGCCCAGCCCCCATATCTTGGAAATTGCTTCTAGTATTTATTACTGAATCTTTCCTTAGATTAAATAACATCAAGGCAGACATTTCTCCTGACAATAAGTCATTATAAATCTTGATTATATTTAAGAACATTTTCCTCTAGATGTTGTAGACAAAATATGGATGATCCAGAATTACCCGGATTTAATTATTAGTCTGATAATTTTCATTTTGTGTTAATTACAGTTATACTTGTGTAAAGTTTTCTGCTTCACTATTTCAAAAAATAAAATAATATTTATTTAATATCGTACAGTGCCTTTCAAGCCCGCCTTAAATAATCATGGAAACGCCACAGCGTACTGATATAACGCGATAAACTAAGAAAATTTATAACAGTCAAAGTGCCTTTAACCATGTTAACAAACATGGACGGTATTTATACTTCACCGTAACTTGATGTAAAACCTGTAAAAAAAACATCACATTTAATGTCCCCGTCATTTAAGTTTTTGAATCGTTTGCAAATCATGTTTCAACGGTTTGTAGTCACAAAGTTTATTTATTCGAAAATGTCATGGCCATCGTGCCGAGAAACGGCGATTTCTTGACAATTTGTTGAGAATTTAGAAAGTCTCCATAAGAAATTTGTTTTTACAAAATAACAAAAATATATATATTTATTGCAAATATCCAAATGTTTTGATTTTATTTATTTATCAAATTAAGAACTAATTCTTAAAATAAATAATATGTAGTATTAGAAAAAGAAGTCAAAAGAAAAGACTAATTCACCTAAATAAGTTTTTAACTTCAACATTAATGACGTGTCAACATATTTAGACGTAAACTATATTAGCTTAGAAAATTATGCGCACATGTTTTTATTTGTGTTTTCTTGAAAAAAAAAGGATATATTTGTACAATATAGTGATTATATAAACTTCAAATTATATTATTAAATCTACCGCATCATTCCCGGTAAACGGATCATCCCTCATAAACAAGTTTTCACAAAATCGTTAAAGACATAAATGGAAATTCTTTTTGTCTGCGGTATGAAAATAAATAAGATCATTTATAAACAAATATTTTCATGTGGTAAAAAGCAACTGAATTTAGAAATTACTCACCTCTTGCGCTTTTTTATTATGTCCTGTTTGGCGGCACCTGTTTCTTTTAATTGTTTTACTGGTACATCTTTTACCCTTTCTGTTTCTATTTTAGATGGAATTGTTTGCAAAAGCAAATCAATAGATCTGAATATTATGAATATTAAAGCAACAAGAAAAAGACACAAACAAAAATTTATCCACCACATCATCTCTGTTACATAAAATCTTCCTAGTTTAACAAGCCGACATATTTTAAATGTATGCAGTTTTACGTGATATGTAACATGTGCACAAAGATAACAGCGTTATGCTTAACTGACTTTATAAACATTTTAAACAGCAATGTGAAGCAAATAGTGCAGTTGACTTCCTTAAATATTTAATCTTAAGATTGTACAGGTTATTTAAATTACATGCTTTGCAGAGGCTTTTGTACTGATACATCAAAATATTTTCTTGAGTTTGAAAACGAGTTGCATATTCCGCTGTGAGCAATGTAACGTTTCAATATAGCTAAAGCAATATGTCTGCTTTTTCACAATCACACCATTCGATAAATGTTCATCTTCAGAGATGTCCTATTTATAAACATACACCTCGTGTATCCATGCTTCATGTGGCAACAGTGACGCATTTATTTGTCAGGCAGTATAAACAATACCTGTCGCCCGAAACTGCACGCTATACTGATAGTGTCGGAAAGGATAAATAGTAAACGGAGAATTATTCGACGCCGCGCGTCTAGTAGATATGCATAATGGGGACAATTTTAGACTTGATTTTGTATAATTTTTTTTGTTTAACAAAATCACACAGTTTTCAAATTTTCTAATAAAAATAGCTTTACTGATGTACAACATGTCACAGAGCTTTAAGAGGGATTAGAATAAACGTTTAACTGAAGTGATATAGTCATGTTTGAATATCATATTCTTTTTAACATTATCTAATTTTATCTACATAATAAAGAACGTACCAATGAGTCAGTCTATAGTCGATCGTTGTACAACATAGCCGTTGAGAGAGGTAACGACTAAGGCAGTGTCACTCACTTCATTTGCTTCACCTCTGTTGAAGTTCTGCTCCGCCTTAAATTGTCGCCAAATTTAATATGATGCTCCGTATGCTAGCATTTAGTCTTCGTTGACGGGGTGGAAGGAACCAGGACAACTTTGTTCAATATCACTTAGTGTTGTCGAATCATTAAATAACAAGTTACAAAGCCTTAACCACGCCCTCTATCAGAGAGGCGGTAACTCTCCTCAACCACCAGGTCAACGCGCAGAATAGTTCGTCCTCAAAATCATTCGAACATTATGCAATTCGTACCAATATTTAAATGAACATATTCTCGGCAAATATTGAAATGTCTTAAATTTATTTTTAGTATACCAATCATTTTAATTTTACTTGTTATCCAATTTATTTTGCTTCGACCAGACGTTTCAATCTTTGTCGCAACAGACAAACATTTCAGAATTTTATACATGGCATTACTTTGTGAATTTATGCATAAGATTATACTTTTTCACAAAAATATGCAATTTAATTATTAAACAATGAGCACATGCCAAGAACATGGAGAAAAAACTGGTTTGTGCTTCGGATATTCAACTGTAATAGAGAAATATTTTCAATGCTGATTGACTGTTCACATTTTTGGCGGCGCCTTTGATGTGCAGCATCAACATTCAACTTGTTCTATAATAGTTAAATCAGATTTGACTGCTCAATATAAGTTGGAAGCGAATACACATAACTATTTGAGAATAGGCCAGAATTATAAATCTAAAAGGGAAAATAAGCATTGTAAAAATGACATTCACCATTATCTGACCTATAGAAATGCATTTCAATTTTAAAGTTATTTAGTTTTCAGTAAAAGTTTGTATGACATTTAGCCCGTACAAAAAGTTTTACCATGAAATATAGAGGTCAAATGATTCGACAAAATAAATTATAAGGTTACCTGTTCCTTTGAAATGCACTGAATCTATAAAATTGAACCAGAATTAACTGTTTGAAATAATTACGTTTGACACCTGTTTAAAATACTGACTTCAACAGAATAATTTATGAGTGAAACGTAAAGGCTTACTTACTTAACGTTAAAGATCCTGTATGTTTTGTGATTAATATTGTACCTTTGTGCATACTTTTTTTTTCTTTTTTTTTAATGCGTTTATTTAAGGTCGCCGCCGGAAAGCCCATATGGGCGACCGTACACTCAAGTCGGGCCATCCTAGGGCGTCCCGCCGAGATTTTTTTCCAGCTTTTATTGGTGGAGGAAGGCCCCAGGTGCCCCTCCGGGCATTATTTCAGGCACGAGCGGGCACCCGGGTAGAACCACCAACCTTCCGTAAGCCAGCTGGATGGCTTCCTCACATGAAAGATTTCGACCCAAGTGAGGATCAAACCTACAGCGGTGAGGGACCAGTGATCTCAAGTCAGCGACCTTAACCACTCGGCCACGGAGGCCCGCACCTTGTGCATACTTTCTCTTTCTATTTCAGTTTATTTATACTCGGCGCCGGAAATTCCATATGTCCGAGAATATAGCATCATTGCCGGTCCACTAAGGTAATCACATCGGGGACGTCTTTGTCAAGCTGAATCTTCCTGTAGCCTATTCTTCGTTCGTTGGTGGTAGAGGAGTACGACAATACTGGCCAGGCATCAAGTTCCATACTGACGATAACAAAAACGGCTCTCATTAGCGCCAACCCTCCAGAGTTAGTCACGACAGGTCAACCAATCACCTCTGGTACTTAAGATGACTTGACCTTGACCTGCCGTGTGCCTTCTCCGCGACGTGCACGCCTCTGGAGGGATTTGGAGAAGTTTGTTGTGCATACCGCTCTTACAATAAGTTATATATTTATGTAATTATGCAAATAAAACAAGTTTCAAACATCGGAGAATATATAAAATATATACTGCAAATATTTGTGCACATTATATGTAATCAATTTATTATATGAATTAATTTCTTATTGGAAAATTTAACTTCGAAATTAATAGAAAATAAATTTCTAATTACCTCCCTTTATTTATATGAAATGTTAAATTCGGTAATATCTTTATAAATAATGCTTATTGAAACTCACAAAATTGACAAATCTTAATAAAAAAAATTGTGTAACAGGATCTTTAATGCCGCCGGTAAGCTGATGTCCATTTTTTTTTTTCTTTGAAAAGTTGAACTACTAAAAACAATCTGTTGAGGGTATTTTATAAAACAAGCTTTCCTTATTAGAAGTATTTTAAAGCCATGCTTTCCTTTTTTAACCTAACTCGCATTGAGGATAATTTTCTAAATGATAACTTACTAAATCCTGTATTGAATATCTGATGGAATTTGCATATTCAATTTGACGCTTTTGCAACAATGATTTGTGATGATCATGCGTTCCAATTTCAATCTTATGAAAATATAAAAGTACTGTTTGTAACTTAAAATGTATTGTTACCTGTATAGAACATTGTCTGTGCAAGTTTTTAATATACTTAAGGGGACTCGTATCTTTATTTTACAAAAAAAAAAAAAGAAAGAAAAAAGAGAGATTTATTGAAATAAATTCATTAAGATGCATCAGTTAATATACTGCGTTTCAATCAACACTACTAGTACTTGAAACCAGAAATATGATTCCCCTTGCATTTATGGTGATCTTAACTGATCTGGGTTCATTGGTTGTATTTAGTTGTTTTGGTTCTTGAATTATACTTGCCAATGTTTGTTTGATATTGGTTGAGTTGTATTGGGTGAATTTGTTTTGTCAATGTCAAGATCTCAAAATTGATGCTTTGGTTCTGAAGATATCTTCGTAAATATTGGTTATTTTGGTTACAGTTGTTTTCTGATGCTGATTGCATTTTGTGAAGTTAATGTTTTTTTATTAAATTATGTGGTTTATACAGTTTCTAAGAGTTGTACAATAATTCATTTGATGTTCTTTATTTTGTGGGGATTTTATTGTTTTGTTTGATCATAAGTTGTTTGTAGCTTGGGCTCGCTAGGTGTTTAGTATTGTTTCGTTTAAAAGACAAATACGTGAAAACGTTTTAAGTCAGGCGGTGCTGCACAGCCTCCATATCAAAGTTTTTATTTTACTAATTCCTTAATAAGATTAAATAATATCAAACAGTCATTCTCCTGACACAGGTGTCGAATTGAAATACTCTTTTATGGAAGAATTGTAGGTAAAATACATGTTCTGATTTCACTTGAAACGTATAAAAGGCATCGACAGCATGTAAAAAAATAATACAAAACTACTCAACAGCATGGCACTGATTTTAATATTAGTTTGTATCCCACGTAGCTCAAATAGTATTTTACCTAGAGTCATGAAACTTAACAGATATGTTGTTCAGGATGTAACGTTGAGTACCTAGGGTTTCAATTTTAGATTTATTTTGTTTTGTCATAGTTATGGCCCTTGATGTAGTAAAAATTTACAATTTTCAACTTGGGTCGCACGTACGACCTATACTCATGAAACTTTACAGGAATGCTGATTCGCATGTGTAGCTGTGCACCTGGGTGTTTGCGTGTAGATGTATTCAGTACTTACTTACCTTTAATAACTTGTTGTTCCCCACCATATACTGATGGTTAGTGAGACAAGTTGTAATACCATACTTATATGTGTTTAAGACATTAAATTATTAACATTGCTGTTACAATACTGATTAATGGCTTAGGATGGATGTTTTGCTTACAAAATGTTTGTCTAAAAATATAAAACAGTCATAACTGGACAACACACCGGTAAATTATTATGTCATTCAGGAATCATTGTGCCCTTATCGATATACATGTAAATCAATTTTCATTAAATGTTTCGTTAAAAAAGCTACTTAATCAATCACAAAGAGCATTATTTCAGTAAATGAACACATTTGCTCATAAGGATCAATGGATTACTGGCATAAAGCATATAAAAACTTATCGCGTTTGGCTAACTTTCCTTAAGAAACCTTTAGTTATAATTAACAAACTTTAAAGACCTTAACTAAATCAAAGCACAGAAGGCGCTGAATTTGTTTGGGTCTCAGAATGTAAGAAAGGTGCAGGTTGTGAGATTATATGTTTAGTGCCACCAATGCTTTCCAGCGTTTTAATTGTAGTAAATTGGCTATAAGACTAATTGCAACACTGATATTCAATCCAATGTTTATTTGACTTTAACATTTAAAAAAATGAGTTACCTTTACTGGGATTTGAACTCCAGACCTCTCGCTTCCTAAGCGAGCCCGAAAACCCTTCAGCCACGGTTAAATTTATATGTGAACGTCCTGAAGAAAACCATATTATTCTAAATTAGGGCTTGTAACGACTTTTAACTGTTGTTTAACACATATGTAAATAATCCTGAAGCTTATTATAAGCATGTATATTTATAAAGAATCAAAGGGCTTCAAGTTCTTTGGTATTTTCTGATCTTTGCAATCTAAATCGTACTGTATATCTGTA